ATATGACCCATTCTGCCCTTCAACATCTTAAACTTAAGTTCCTAAGTCCTAAAACCCAAATCCTGAACCCTACGCCCTTAAAACCTAAGCCTTAAGCTACAAAATCCCAAGCCCCAAACCTAAGCCCTCCACCCTGAACCCCAACCCCTACATGCTGTATAGCACTCAGCCGAGGCTCCGTGAATTGAATTTTGCCGCCCTCTAGTTTCACGAAGCCGCTGGTGGGGCTTGGGCTACGACCTCGTCCGTTGTGGTGTTTTTGGCGTTTAGGGTTAAGGGCTTAGGGTTTCGGGTTTAGGGTGTATACTGTTTGCGGCCTAGGTCCTAGGGTTCAGGGATAATACCCAATAAGGGAGAATCAGATTGAAACAGAGTGAACAATGACATGGAAACTGTTATGCAGTTATATGTATATGGTTTAGGGCAGTAGGTCTATCGCTAGAAGGTTTGGGGCTTGGGGTTCAGGGCTTAAGGTTTCGTATTTGGGGCTTATGTTTTCAGATTTAGCTTTTAGGATGTAGGGTATGAACAACGAAATGGAAACGAACATGGACAATGGAGTGGAAACTAGTCTTTAGGGTTGACAGTCTGCATAGGGCCTCAGATCTTTGATGGGGATAGGAGTCGGAAACACAAATCTCAAACGATGAGCCACGCCCTAAGCCCGAAACACAACCCCCTCCGCTAACCCGAAATTAACCCTAAATCCTAAGCCTGACATCCTAAACCCCTAATCCCCAAACCAAGGCAGCGCTTCCCTTCATAATCTTAATCATTCAAGCTCCCCAAACCCTAAAACCCTAGACCAAAAACCCTCAAAGTCCAAGTCCTACAGCTCTGAAACCCTCAACTCTGAACCATATACAAAGCCATGCATAGCCCCATCTCAATCACCAGAATCCCATGGAGTCTACACCCATTAAACCCATCTCAACGCCCTAAATCCGAAACCCTAAGCTCTGAACCCTAAACCCTAAATTCGGGGGTTCTCTCAAACAAAGGAACCCTGAAAAAACACTGGTGATACACAAGGAATGTATAGGAACTGCAGGTGTTCAACTTGCGGATTGCTTAGGGCTTCGGGGTTTAGGGTTAAGGGCTTAGGGTTTAGGGTTTAAGGCTTAGGGTTTACGCTTAGGGTTTAGGCTTAGGGTTTAGGGCTTAGGATTTCGTATCTGTAGGGTTTAGGGCTTAGGGTTTAGGGCTTACGGGGTGTAGGGCGTAGGGCTTAGGGTCTTAGGGTTTAGGTCGTAGGGTTTGGGAAACTTCTACCTTTACCCAATATCCCACACCCCCTTACCCCCCTAATCCTGAGGTACCCTTTCATTTGCAAACCCTGAACCCTGAACGCTGTATGTCTACCCCTAGACAGTAACCTCCAAATCAAGTAACCCTAAACCCTAAACCCTAAACCTTTAACAACACATCCGAAGACGTCATCCCTAAACCCTCAGACTCAAACCCTGCGCCCTACATTCTCAGAAGCCGAAAAACTCTTGCCTTAACCCTAAACTTGGGGGTTTCCCAAAATTCAGGGTACCTTTCTTGGGGGCACCTATAATATGGATTATAATATGTATTGGGTTCCCTCTACCGTAAGAAACTGCCTGAAGCCTCATGCCTACATTTAAGCGTTACACGCTGGGCCCTCAACCCAACACCCTGAGATAGGACCCTACCCGGCCCCCCAGAAACCTAAATCACAGGGGTAGGGCTTTGGAGTATTTCTACGACTAAACGGCGGCGAACGAAGGAAAAACCGGAACAATGCAGGCAGGCGATGGTATATTCTACCATGGTTGGTAGTGCGGACCATGTGAGAATTATGTAGGTAGTAGCCATTAGGCTTCTACCGGGTGGTTTAGCATAGTTGTTAATAAAGCCAATATGGGATTTCCACAATTGAAGCTTCTGTAGTGGTATCTTCTACTATGACTATCCACAAGAGAATTATGCAGGTAAGCATTTAAGCTCCCACGGCGGTATTTCTACTTCGTGTAGTTTTTAGTCAGGACCATTAGGGAATTATGTAGGTAATCATTTCTGCTTCGACAGTGCCCCCTCCCCCCCCAAAACTCCTAACTCCTAAACCCCTAAACCTCTCTTACCTA